CATACCTGAAGGTAACATGTTCACTGCAGTCAGTGGGCTGAATTCAAGCCCATTCTCATAGCTCCATCCACTACTCCCCTTAATAAACCTTGTTATATTTTTATTGACTTTATGACTGTTGCCAATGTTCTGACTGTATGGACTGCTATTTGGAAAACGACACTAGCAGACTAAAGACATTCCTCTCTGGGACCATAAACTGTAGAAAGAAATCGAAGTTACTGATCAAAATGTCTGGGTCTTTCCTTCTCATTAAAGGTAAAAGCCTGAAGTCTAAAGATCTGGACTCTAACAGTTGAACAAACATTGTAATTGTTGATTCTGACTCTCCAGTTCTAAATGAGTGTTATGAAGTCTTACTTGTCAGCGTTATCATGACTACCTTGCAATAAACTAAATAAGTTTCTGCATATTAAAAAAAAAATCTGGGTCTCTCACGTAGATGCCCATGCTCTCTGATGAGAGCAAATGGAATCAAGTTACTGGATGAGTCTGCACTTCCTGATTCCTACCATTGCTGCCTGGATCGATCATCACACTGGATGTGACAACACATTTGCCACCATAGACTGGACACAAAGTAAAGGACTCTGCTTCTGATACAAGAGCTACCACTGCATGCCAGCCTTGTGACTGCTGTCCAGTGTTGACCCTGCTGCTTCCTGCTGAGTGAGGCCACAGTGGCCATTGACTCCCACCTCTTCATGGGAGGCTGACTACTTTGGATACTTGACCCTCTCTTAGAACTCTCAGCGATGCCTCTCTGCTGTCAGCACTTTTCCAGGCAATAGCTTTATGTTATTTTGGCCTGTGAAACTCTTTGAGGTCAGGTTTTCAGCTTTGGGATTATTTATAGCCTGACAGTGGTGCACTTTTTTTTTTTCCACAAAAACCACTGAAAAATGTCTAATAACTAAGGTATTTTATGCACCTCCATAATCCCTACTTTCCACAAGCATTTGGTATTGCTGAGCCTTAGTATGGTCTTCTCAAAAATCCATTAAATATTTCTGACTTTACTCTCCTTGCCTCTCCCTGGACCGTACACCTCAGTAAGGCAATTCAGTCACTGAGTGAATCTTTTCTCAGGAAGAGACATTCAACTCATGCACATATATATACACATACACTCACAAACAATAAAGAATATATATATATGTATGTATATATGTATGTGTATATACAGTGAACGCTGTGAGAGCTGGAAAAGAACTCAATGGAACTGCCTTGTTTTTCTGGGTCTTACAAGTTCTCTGTCTTTGACAGGATACAGTCTTACCACTTTTCTGTTGCTCTCGTTTTAGTGGGAAACCTTCTCTGACAGGTTTCTGCCTTACACAGGTTCTGGCTTTTTCAGGATACTATATACACGGTAAAACTATATATATATGTAGGCTTTGGCATCAACTTCTAGTTCTCCTTCTTTAAAGATATGGTGTGAGTACATCATATAATGAAGAACAATCCGGAACTAGTACTGTCCTCATTACAAATTATGTTCTGAAAATGTTGGTTTTCTGTGTACCCCTTATAGACTATGTCTCATGATAATCACAGATTTAAAAATGCTTACTACGATTTGCAAAATAAATTTTTAGATTTAAGTTACATTCCTCCTACAATGGACAGTTACATACAAAGCCTTAGCTGCTAATTGCTAAGGATGGGTAGCTTCCATATGCACTGTAAAATCATGGCTGTTTTGTTCACATATTATTCCAGGAATTACTTTTATCATGGCCTAACTTTCTGTTTTTCTAATGTGACTACCTGGGTCACCAAGAATCATTACAATAATATCAAGACTTGTCTAGGTGTTTAAATGTTCTGTTAAGTGCAAGCAACACTGTGGTTGGAAAAATTCTGTACAGTGGCATGTACAGTGGGTAGATAAGTCAGCAACACTTTTCACACGCTGCAGTGTATGAACCAGGTGCATGATGACTAAACCAAAAATAATCACTAGATTCAATTCAGAAGACCATCCGAACATCCTTTCAGAAAAATGTAACGTTGGTCCACATTTGAATCCACATTTTTATTTTTTAATAATTTTATGGCAACATTTTTTGGCAGTTATAGGCTAAGCAGTGTTTTATAGGACAACAGAAGAAGGATTGCACTGTGTTCCTCTACTGAGTGCCCGAAGATACCAACAACTCCCGAGGCGAGATTCCAGCGAGTGCCAGGACCCAGCCAAGCAAGAAGGAAACTGGAGAAATAATTTGTCAACTTCCTCCTTCTGCTTTCTCATCTCCTGCCAATGACTCCCGATGGCTGAAACCAGCCAGAAGTCAGAAGGCAGAAAAACCTGGGTGATGTTAGAGTTCAGCTTCCTGAGGCAGAGAATGCAGCAAAACAGTATGGAGAAGGGATCGGGGGTGAGCATGTGCCAAAAGAGATTAACAAGCATACTGGTGAAATAGCCTGTGTGTTGAAGGCTATACTGGGAATATGTTGCACTTGCAATAATAAGGGGATAAGCTATGTCTGAGTGTTTCTTGTGGATTAAAAGGGGTCTACATGTGGGGGAGGGGAGGGGTAGCAGCCTGAGGTCATCCTGAATTCCATACAGGAGGACTGGAAGGCTGTCTGGTGGGATTATGGAGCTCAAACAGAAAATAAGGGACACAGAGTGTCTTCGGTTTGAGAGAAAAATCACGTTCAGGCAACAATTCAGTGGAGAGTCATTGCTTCAGTCAGGGGAGCCGTAGTTACTGGGCTCCATGGGGGTTTCCCAAGAACACCTGACACCCTCTTCTGAGCCAAAGACTCAGCCTTAGGGCTTCTACCATCCTCAGAGAGCACAGCACCAATTAAACAAGACATTCCCTTTTCTTACCTCTCCTTCATCCTTCTATCTCTCCACATCTGGAGTAAGGAGAGTCAGCCTTGTCAAGGGTGGTGCGAAGAAGTAAAAGAATAAGTTAATAAGTGGAGAATTTAAGAAATTAAACACGACCCCTTCTCTTCTGCAGGTCGTCCAGCCCGAGTTAAGCTGAAGTCAAAGGCAGGAGAAAAAACTTTCAATTTAAATAAAATTCAATAATTTGGTTATTGCACAGAATTGAAATTTAAATTACCGAAGACGTGATACTATGACTGAAAATGACTAAAACACTTTAATTTTATGAGAATTACTTAGATTAGCAGAGACTTCCAGGCAACAAGAAAGAGCAAATCTCCACATCAGATTTTAAGGGAAATTGTGAGAAAAACAATGAAGTTACTTCCAAACCAAAAAACGAGTTGCTGTCAAGTCAATTCTGACTCATGGCGACCCCATGTGTGTCAGAATATGCATAACCGTGCTCCATAAGATTTTTAATGGCTGATTTTTCAGAAGTAGATTACCAGGCCTTTCTTCCATTAATCTCTGGGTGGACTTAAACCTCTGACCTTTTGATTAGCAGCTGAATGTGTTGATATTTTACATCACTCAGGGACTCCAAAGTTACTTCTTGTCCTTTCAATATGATAGTTATATTCTTGTAGTGCCGAACTCTTTGCCCTGGTCCTAAACTTACTCAGACAGTGTCTGAATTATTCTGTTTTAGCTGTATGAGTGGGATCTTGGAATCCTGAGTCACACTGACTATCACAAAAGATAAGCCTTTTCATCTGAGCTCTTAAAAATATCAGTAACTCCTAATTTCTTCTAGACTCAGTCTTCTTGGGTTATCTACTGTTCTTGTTGATTTGAGAATTAACTCCTCTAATGGTTTTGTGTCGTCTTTTTCCCCCTTTACATTTATTAAAGTCTAAATATTTGTTCTACTGAACACTGTCTACAATCTTGGTAAACCTCAGCATTATATATTCATTAAAAACCATTCCCCAGAGAGGTACAAACATCTAATAAAAATACACTTAATATAGAATTTATATACAATAATACAGTTAAGATAGCGAGTCATTTTAGATTTTGAATTTTAGTTGTTGTGAAAGAACTTTGGTTTCTTTATAGTAGGAAATATTATAGGGCGTAAGGAAGGATGTGAATACTAATTTAGAAAGCATAGCCAGGGAAGGACTCCTTGAGGCAGTGATTTTGAATAGACTTGGATTAAATGGAGGGGCGTGCCTCTTAACATATTTGAGTGAGGAGTGGTAGAAACAATTCAGAGACTGTGAGATGTTAAACTCTTGGTATATTTGTTCTTTCAAATATATTTCCTCACCATTTCTGTAAAGAAGTAGAGCTGGAAGTTGACATGAAAACCACACTTATGCCCTTTATTATTTATTGAGTGTGTGTATCTCTATCTCTATTGCTCTCTCTCTCTCCATCTACCCACATGTAAGTCAAATGAAGTATAACGTACAAATACCAGTAACCATCGGGTGGACCCCGAGTCATGGCGACCCCATGCGTGTCAGAGCAGAACTGTATTCCATAGTGTTTACAATGGCTGATTTTTTGGAAATAGATCACCAAGTCTTCCTTCCAAGGTGCCTCTGGGTGGACTCAAGCAACCAACGTTCTGGGTTCAGCAAAGCACATTAACTGTACCATCCAGGAACAAGATCTTAATAGAAGTTCAAAATTACTTTTCTAAAATCCTTGAGAAATAGATTTTAAATTCAGATTTATTTTAATTTTAGAAGCACAATATGTGCATATTCATATATGAATTAACACTCGCGGTGGAATACGTAATTCATCGCATAACCAAGCACATTAACATTTCCACCAGCAAAATGTAAAATTTAAAAACTATGCTTATCTTCATTCAGGTTTGGCACCAAACTAATGAAATTATTTTGCTTTACAGATATTTAGATTTCAGCATTTTGAATAAAGAATCAGGGATTTGTATCTCTCGTGTCAGTATATGGTTAAAGTACTCTCGATTCTTTCTTTAAAAAATAACTTTGGGCGGCTCCTCGGCGTGTGGTGGTGGTGACTGTAGGGCTTCCTCCTGGCCCTGTTAATGTCGGGGCCAGGCCCGGGAAGGATGGCGCCCTAGAGCCCAGCCTTGGAGGGGTAGGGGCGGCAGGGGACGGGGTGCGGACCGGCCATGTCGGAGGTGACCCGGAGTCTGCTGCAGCGCTGGGGCGCCAGTTTTAGGAGAGGCGCCGACTTCGACTCTTGGGGCCAGCTGGTGGAGGCGATAGACGAGTATCAGATATTAGCAAGGCATCTCCAAAAAGAGGCTCAAGCTCAACACAATAATTCTGAATTCACAGAAGAACAAAAGAAAACCACAGGCAAAATTGCCACATGCTTGGAATTACGAAGTGCAGCTTTACAGTCCACACAGTCCCAAGAAGAATTTAAACTAGAGGATCTGAAGAAGCTAGAACCAATCGTAAAGAATATTCTTACATATAATAAAGAATTCCCTTTTGACGTTCAGCCTGTCCCATTAAGAAGAATTTTAGCACCTGGTGAAGAAGAGAATTTGGAATTTGAAGAAGATGAAGAAGAGGGTGGTGCTGGAGCAGGGTCTCCTGATTCTTTTCCTGCCACAGTTCCTGGTACTTTATTACCACGGTTGCCATCAGAACCAGGAATGACGTTACTCACAACCAGGATTGAGAAAATTGGTCTCAAAGATGCTGGGCAGTGCATCGACCCCTACATCACAGTTAGCGTAAAGGATCTGAATGGCATAGACTTAACTCCTGTGCAGGATACTCCTGTGGCTTCAAGAAAAGAAGACACATATGTTCATTTTAATGTGGACATTGAGCTGCAGAAGCATGTTGAAAAATTAACCAAAGGTGCAGCTATCTTCTTTGAATTTAAACACTACAAGCCTAAAGAAAGGTTTACCAGCACCAAGTGTTTTGCTTTCATGGAGACGGATGAAATTAAACCTGGGCCAATTGTAATAGAACTATGCAAGAAACCCACTGACTTCAAAAGAAAGAAATGGCAGCTATTGACCAAGAAACCACTTTATCTTCATCTACATCAAACTTTGCACAAGGAATGATCCTGACATGAGTAGCCTGGAACTTCTGTGAATTTCACCACTCAGTAGAAACCATCATAGCTCTGCGTAGCGTATTCACCCTTCCACAGGCCGGAAGCGAGCCGTGCCCATGCCAGCAGGCCAGAGTGAGTCCCTTCATTGCACCACCGTGCCGCAGAATTTCAAGTCCAGCACATCACTGACGTGTAAGGCGCCTTTGGGTATTGCAGATTTGGAAACATGTTTTTACTTTTCTATTAATTGTGCAATTAATAGTCTATTTTCTAATTTACCACTATTCCTACCCTGCTTCCTGGAACAGCACTTACGGGTAGGACATGCTTATCTTCAGACTTAATACAGCAATAAGAATGTGCTAAAGTTTACACATCTGTTCACTTCTGTGCCAACACGCTCTTTAGGTTTCCGAGCTAACGTCAGACTCTGGGTTGCTGTGGGTAGGATAGTATGAAACTGCTTCGAGAGGAACTCATTGGCCCACTTTTGCTGTCGAAGGAGGAAATGGATTGGCTGCTCGTCAGAGGTGGCTTCAGCTCACCCTGATGCTAGTTTTCCTCCTTAGTAGTAGTGTGCTTTGGCCAGATCAGGATCCCGTGGGGAGTGTGCCCCAAACTGCAGCAGCGATTTTCCAGGTGACCGGGTTATTTTTTTGAAAAGAGAGCATAGTTTTAGTCGTGTTGATCAGCTGTTCTCCATCACATTGTTATTCTTCCTGATAATGATTCGAGGCTTCACGTAGGAATCATCTCCTCATAATTACACACTTCTGTGAGTATTCAGCTACCATGAGGTAGCCGGCAGGTTGTCTGTAGTGTCTTCTGAATCATACAGTCTAAGACTAATTGAGTCAGATGCTATGAGATATTGCAGGAATCACTGCTGTTTTTCTGACAACTGATTGTGAAACCTTAAAAGCCTGCATATCTCTTCTTACAGTGATGAGTATGCAAATCTGGAAAGATACTCTTTTTTTTTTTATATATATAGGTAGATAGGCCTGCCATTTACTTTCTATTTAGATATACTGACATTCATCCATATGAAAATATGCAGGTCATTAGCTTATTATAATTTGACTATTGACATTCTTTTGACTTAGTAATGGGGCATAAATGAAACTTTCATAGTACACATAAGGTGGATATTTGATACACAGAACTCTAAGATTTGTGGTGGTCTTTCTGTGGGTTAGATGTAGAACCCACCTATTTTAATATTCACTATTGTAAATGAACAACGCTGGCATGAGGGGAATGCGTGTCAGTACGTGGCCTATTTTAAAGTAGTGTAATCCTAGTCGTACCATTCAGTATGTTTGCTTTTTAAATTAAGTAACCACAGTAAGTTGTTTCAGCCCTTGCACTTCCAGAGAGGTCGTCTTGACTCTCAGCTGTCTCTTAGGTTAGTTCTCTTCACCAGCTAGATGCTAATAAAACTCTATGAGCCTGCAAGACTTCTCAGCCAAATTTAGTCTTGTTTGTCTGTTTGACTGGATTAATTCAAATTCTAAAATGATTCAATCCACAGTATCTCTAGGGGATGAAGAACTTGCCTTAATAAATCACCTCCTTGTTCGCTCAAGTCTTAGACTACGAGTTGTCAGATCCCCAGACTGTCAGGTCCTCAAGGGGCAAGAATCCACTTCCTCCCGGAGGTGTAAATTTTCTCAGGCGCTTGGCAGCACTCTGTACCCTGTGGAGTACTCAGTACCTTCTGTTGGATGTTGCTGACGGGACCTAAGAAATAATCCCTTATAAAACCTACTATTAAAATGTAGCAAGACTGATACACCGTTCTTTTTCTTTTCTCATAAACCATAAGACATGCGCAGCAAAATGATAAGTTACATGGACAAGCATCTGCTATCCTTCACAGAAGTATGGTTTATATGAACTACCAATGCCTTTCATCAGTATTAAAGCAGCTTAAATTGAGCATCGTGTGATTAGCTTAGCTTTAATTCAGACTGGAATGAAGTGACAAAATGAGGGACTGTCTTAAAGCAGTTGACGCGGAATCCTCCTCTTCCCACAAATTATTTAAATTTACTTTCCAGGGCAAAAAGTTGGCCACTGAACAGTAACCACAACTATAGCAGAAATGCTTTCAGGCTGAAACACGGCTGCTTCATAAATGAGGTGGTTTTAGCAACTAAGCCCAGAGACACAGTTAGCAGGAGAAGGCTTCTGAAACAGATGCAGCTCTTGAGATGGACCAGTCTGGTGTTTAACTGAGGAGGGATGCTCCACACACCATCTGTACGTGGCAGCTTCCTTTGCGCTTTGCTGCACAAGTGATGCAGTCAGAGGGATATGCAAGAGGCGAATAAAAAAGATTTATTTTTTCTATTTAACTATCTTCCTAGCTGGTATAATCTATATTAAAAATACTACTTAAAACTAGAAATTATTATATTAACTTAAGCATTGTTTTGTGCATCCTGAAGAGACTGACACATTCGCAAACATTGCTTGCGACTTAATCTTACTTTACATGGTTAAAAATGGCCAGTGCTGTGAACTATGGAGTTTTCCTCTTAGATCTAATTTTCTTTAGTCTTGATACTAAGTGGGAGGACGTGTAGACTGAATTCTTTCCCTTACGAACTCCTTATGTATGTATTCCTTGTGAACTCTGAAACAGTTGTCTTCTTTCAAAGGGCCTGATCTTTCTAGGAAAGTCACATCTTTAGTTTGGAATAAGGAGAAAATTTTGTTTCACATTGAAGCTTCTGCTCCTTTTTAAAATGTATTCTCAGTGGATTAAACACCATGACAGTCACAAGCCATGCTCTACGTCATAGTCTCACTGCCTTGTAGCACTTCGGAGAACGGGGGAACACAGTCCAGCAGTAAACAAGGTTATCAGCCTTTTATAATTTAAATCTTCAACTTATTAAAATGTGCTATATAAAGTTACTGTAGTTTAAAATGTTTGAAAACTTTTAGTTCTTAGGAACACTGTCTTAAAAACATAGCACACTAGTAAGTATAAAAAGACTTCAATTATGATACAATCTCTGATGCTTAGATTTACTGATTTTTAAATACAAACACCAACATTCACATGTCAACTTGGAGCAGTTTTGATCAACAACAACTAAAAATTGAGTTCAGGCCATGGTTACTGACCTAAGGCAAGTTACAAGCCTCACGGTCCTGAGTCACTGTTCCCTCGCAACATTACACTCTTCTGATCTTTTCTGCTGTATTCCTTCAAAATCAGTGGCACCGTAAAGAAATTTCAACATTTTTATGGTCACGATACATCATTTTCATTTTTCTATTACGCAACCTTAATACAAGAATGGTAAACGGAACAGAACATCAGGTTGAACAGCTCTTACTAGTAATGTGAACTCACTCAGAAACCACCGTCAGGGTCCTAAGAAAGCACACGTATGCTATACAGGTGGGGCTGCTGGCTTCGTTAAAATAAAAGGAAGAAGACATCGTCCGTGGAGTGCACAGGTGACTCTGAGGTTGGACCTCCTTAACCATGAGTGACAGCGTGCTGCAAAGTCACCGTCTTTCTTCAGTTCTGAGAGCCTGAGTTTCCGTGTTTCCAAAATGGCACACGGCTCATGAGAAAACAGTCGAATGAATCAGCAGACACTTGGGCAATATTAATAAACAATTTTTTAGGAACTATTACTACAAAGAACTTTAACAAGGGGCAGAGATAAAGTTTAGTGATCTTATAATAAACATTTTTTGCATAACAGTCTTTGTGACCAGGTATTTATAAAAAAATCAAGCTTATAAACACTGTTGCTCTTTCATCAACCAGTGTACATGAAAAATAGGATAATAAATGGAAATACATGTTCTTAAAGCATTTCCACAGGAAATGTTTGTATTTTTCATGACATTCTAAATCATTTAGCAATTACATAGTCTACATTAACTACAACACAGGTATTCTTTATTGCACATTTCAAAGTTGTAAGGAGGTGCTAGCTTAAAAGGTGGTCTTCATTGAGGTGGGATTATATTCTTGAATTGTGTGGCTCAAAAACGCACCCTGCCAAGGCAGCTTAGTTTTAAAAACAAACATTTTAAAATTAACTTTTGGATTTTGAAGCCAATGACATTCTTTACTGTAACAGAAGCGCACAGTCCACTCTTTCTCTCAGGTTAGGTGTCGGAGGTCAGTCACGGGCTCTGTTTTAAAGCCTGTGAAGAGTCCTGGCTGCCGCTCTGAGGGGCAGATGGCGGCTCATGTCTAGAGCCTGAAGGCAGTAAGTCTCTTGCAGCAGGCGAAGGTGGATAATCCTGGGGGCCATGGGGTGGGGGTGGTAATCGGGTACCAGGAATAAAGTACTCTCTTGGGCCTAAAGGTCTAAAAGGTGTGGGTCCTGGTATAAATTCTCGAGGATCAAGAGGCAGGTCCCGCTTTCCAGGTGGAATGCCTGGTGCATATTCTCTTAAGCCTAGTGGTGGATGCAAACCAGGACCTGGAAAAAAGTATGTCATGTAAATAAGTACGAACATATCTAAATTAAGACGATTCTAGGCCTGTTACTACACTCATTTCTCACAACCCTAGAAGTCAGCTGGTGGCATGTCCACTTTATAGATGATGCAAAACCTGAGGCTCAAGTTTCAGTTACATGCCTATGCCCAGCCAGCCACAGACCATCAGAGGCAAGATTTAAACATGGCCCTACCTAGCTCCAGACTGTGTTTTTTCCACTACGTAACTGTGCCATCTTTATCTCATTAGAGCTTGGTTTGTACTTGGAAGTATCATATACATACCAAGATAATACATTATGAAATAAGGGTTTCCCTGCAACAAAGAAATTTTAATAAAGGAAATTCCATTGTTTACTACTATACCAATTAAAAATTCATGCAGCAGCTCAGCACGGACCTAATATATGCCATCAAAATTAAGCTGCTTGTCGACCATCCAAGGCACAACAATTGGTCTCTCTTCGTCTGGAGCAATAGTGGAAGAAGGAGAGTCAGGAATAGGAGGAGGATATGGAATGTGTGGCTAACTGCCTCCATGAACAACTGCTTCCTCTGCCATGAGACCCGAAGAACTGGATGGTGCCTGACTACCATTACTGAACACTTTGATCAAAGATTCCGTAGAAGAATCCTGATCAAAGATTCCGTAGAAGAATCCTGATCAAAAGGGGGAAAGTACATAACAGAATCTCAAATCCTCAGGGACTCTAGACTTCCTGAAGCCATACAGGGTAGATGAAACCCTGAATCTATTGCCCTGAGATCTTTAAACCTTCAACCAAAAATGTCCCTGAGGTCTTCTTAAAACCATAGTTTAGCTTAACTAGTGAAGAATATCTGCCTTGAGCATTAAGCTCTTTTAAGAACTATCTATATGGGGTCAAAGTGACAACAGCAACTCAAAAAATTAGGTAGGAACCTTAGGGGGTGGTAAGTTTATGTTAATGGGGGAGAAACAACTCAGAAAAGGAAGGTGAAAATGGTTGTACACGCTGAAGAATGTAATCAAATTACAAATGTGGCAATGGCGGAATTGGTGTGTGTTCTGTTGTATATATTCTCAACAACAACAAATCAAGCTGCTTGCCCTGCTGGGAATGGCCTCCTAGCTCCATCTAACTAAATTCACATTCATGAGGTAACTACTAAAAAAAAAAAAAAAAAACTGTCAAAATATGCCACCTCTAAGATTAAAAACCAAAAAACCAAACCTGTTGCCATTGAGTTGATTCCAACTCACAGCGACCCTATAGGACAGAGTAGAAGTGCCCCACAGAGGCACACAGCAACAACAATATATTCTATTAGAAGAATCTTCATGAAAAAAATATTTAATCTGAAATATGACTATTGTGTTTACAGGCTGATCAGTGTTTTACGACCCTCATATTATTTTTCTTTGTGTTTGGTCTCTGTTGCCTCCCTCCTTCCTCTTTTAGTGGGTAAATACTGTCCTGACTCTGAAGTTAGTGCTATTTCCTGTGGTCACACTTGCCAGAATGATAACGATACAAATACGGATGCTTAAAGTGCTAATGGTCACGCACATCCAGGCTGGTAAACCTGACTTTTGCTGTCCTTCTCTTTCCCCTGACTGTATCTTCTGCCCCTTGGCTAGGTACACTGCTTCAACTCCCAATACCTTGTGCAGAAACATCTTGTTCTTTCCATCAGAAATGCTATTCCCTCTGCCCAATATCTATCCACCCCATCCCCAAGACTGTACGGTCACGTTGCTAGATTAGGTGTTACGTGCTGTTTCAAGTAGCAGCAACTCTGCGGTTGGAAATATTCTGTATTGTACGGTAGGTTTGTGTGTCAGTCATTACTCACATAGAGTGTATGGAACAGATACGTAATGTCTGAACAAAGTGTGATAACTCAGTTGACTCCCAAAGATCTTCTTAGTAGCATTTCTGAAAACCTCAGCAGTGAATCATCTCAAAATCCAGAAATTTCTGTTAAAATGTAACCTCCAAACTCACTTACTGTCATGAATTACTTCTGCCTGTGAACCTACATATACTTTTCCTTGCTTTTGAGCACTTATTAGGTGCTAGATACTATGTTAAATACCTTATATGCTTATACCTTTAAGCATTTTTACAATGTATTTCAGACAAAAGATTAAATTGCATTTTACATTTTACAGATGATGAGAATGGCTCTTCAATGGAAGTATGCAACCTCTTCATGCTTACAAATCTAACAAAATACAGAACAAGGCACACGAAACCTTTGAATTTGACACATCAGATTTAGCAGGTTGAAGGAGGAAAGAGAATGATCGCTTGATCAAAATCAACTAGAGATTGGTTTTTTTCTGCTGTTTCTTACTGCTCTTAGTCAGGGAATTCCTTTGACTTGTCTCTTTCCCTTTATGCCCAGATCATAGAGCTTTGCACTGTAGACATGCTTGCCTGCTGAAGAGGTCCAATACCATTTCAGTAAGACTTAACAACACTCTGTGGCCTTTAGACTTCAAAGAGTGACCAATGTGTCAGTCAGTCTTGGTTTGCTATTTTAGCATGAGAGCTCAATAGCATACCACAGAGAAACTGTTTCCAGCCACACAGAGGTTGACAACTCCCACCTGCAGCCAACTTGGTTGCAGCTCTTTCATGAGATTCTAACACCTTGCTCAAGTTTCATTATGTACCCACTAACTTGTTAATTAGAAGATATGCACTGGAATGCCTGAAATTAAGAAATTTTGAAACAAGTTGTAATTTATATCCGCTCTGTTTTTATAAACTTTCCCTACCTCAAGCAAATGCAGAATTCCAATGTTTTTTCCAAAATAGATATGTTACCAATTTTAGGGACCCTTCTTCTTCTGGGTAAACATCCCACTTTATAAAATAGTTGTTGTTATTGTTAGGTGCCATCGAGTGAGTTCTGACTCACAGCGACCCTATAGGACAGAGTAGAACTGCCCCATAGCATTTCCAAGGAGTGGCTGGTGGATTTGAACTGCTGACCTTTCAGTTAGCAGCGGAGCTCTTAACCACTACACCATCAGGGCTCCAAAATAGTTATTAGGCAGTGTCAAGGGCTGAGAAAGATCTAAAACCCATTGCCGTCCAGTCAATTCCTACTCATAACGACCCTACAGGACAGGGTAGCGCTGTCCCACAGGGTTTCAAGGGGTGGCTGGTAGATTTGAACTGCCGATCTTTTGGTTAGCAGCTGAGCTGCTAACCACTGTACCACCAGGGCTCCGAAAAAGATCTAAGGAGATCAAAATCTTTCAAGTTATTTTGTTTCTTTTATTCAGTTCTGAGTAAGCTATTCCTTGTGAACCAGATGCTGAATTGGTTGATGCTCTGGCTTCATTGGCCAAAATTGTTGGTAATTATTTTCTAAAATACAAAACAGTGATTCTGTAGTGGTGGTTACATGAACTTATGTATCTGATAAAACTGCATAAACCACTGCTCCTCACACACATATACATGTAAATGAGTGCATATAAAACATATTTCTTTGGGTGGGAAATATTTCTCTGTACTGTTTATGTTGGCCTAGATGCAGAGAGGAAAAAAGTTCGTGTATAACACCTCTGTTTAATACCAAAAAACAAACAAAAAAAACCCCATACTCATTGCCGTCAAGTCGATTCTGACTCATAGCCCAGAATAAATTTGTGGCTGTCAGTTAAAAGCGTAACTTTAAAATTATACAATACTTGTAAAAATAACAACATGATATCCAAAGCCCAAAATTATAGCTATAGAGATTTTGGCTAACATATCAGGGATCAAATGAAAACACTGTGTTGAATAAACTGAAAATCAGCATCTCTCCCAATGGCAAATATTTCCTCACTTGAATTGGAGCTACAAGGTGGTCATACCTACTCCTTAAAGAAATCCAGAGCAAGATCCTTCCAGAACAATCCTTGTCAACTCTTAGAAAAGTTCAATTGGTAGAAGTGAATGATCAACAAGAAG